AGGGAAATGACTCCTGCTAGACTCCGGATCGACTAGAGATGGAGTTTCGATGGTTGCTTGCTCCGAGAACAAGTGGAATTTGACCTGGGAGAGGAAAAACGAAGCCCTGGATTCCTCGATTCTCTCGAAGGACGCTCTAAGGTGTCCTTGCGGTTCCCGATTTAGAGCGACCGCCAAAGGTCGAGGAGTTCCTCGATCTATCGATTTGGCGGACACTCGGGGAAGGATTTTGGGAGGACCGACCGAGTGGAAGCCGGTGGCAAGGTGCGAATATGATTTATCGGCGGAAAGAGGCTGACTAATAGCACCAGGAGTCCCCGTGTCCCGGTAGGGTCGCGAAAGTGGAAAAAACGAGCAGACCGGGTCTGGAGGGAATCCACTTTGCATACGCTTAGCGTTGCACACCTCGAGTATCCTTTAATAAGCGGAGAAGAGCGCTGCAAAAAATGGAGGCGCAGCCGAGAAGACTCTCGAAATGGAGAACGCGTCTCTCTGACGAATCTCCGCTCTTCCGAGCGATTCGGTGATATTTACCGATCGAACGGAGTCCGGAGCCTCCGTCTTGCCTCCAAAGTGGCGGTCGAATTCCACGTCTCTCTCGAGGATGAACGGAGATGGACCACTGAGAGCGACCGGGAAGAGAGAGAAGCCTACAGGGAACTGGAAGCTCCCGAGAACGTGGCCTCGAGGAGCCTGGAACAGAAAAACCACTAGAGTCTCGCACTCGCCGGAGTGCCAGTGGTCTCTGACGTCCCACCTAAGTCAACAGAGAAGGCCCATCAGCATTTACCCTGGGTAGGTGTAAGTAAGAGCCATTGCGACCCATCGCGAGCACCAGCGAGTGCGTGGATCCTCCAGCTCCTTCCAAAGCTCGACCGCGATCCGGAAGAATCCACGAGATCCACTCTTCTGGCAGAAATGCCGTTCCCACAAGTGTTCCTTCATGAATTCTACAACTTTAAGCCGTTAATGCATCGCCAAAGTGGTATGAGATTCGAGGCAAAAGAGACTTTACAGGGAAACTTCCGCTCTGCTCTCGGTGACTTCGACGCGTGGACAAGGACTGACGCGCGGAGAATAATTACAATCCTTTATTAAATAACGATTGTTGCCGGAATATCACACCGAACTTTAAGTAAGAGAATCCGTTTAGTAACGTGAAAGTACTTTAACCAACATTTATCATGGAATTCGAGGCAAAAGAGATTAACTTTACAAGGCAAAATCCGCTCTACTCTCGGTGACTTCGACGCGTGGACAAGGACTGACGCGCGAAGAATAATTACAGTCCTTTATTATATAACGATTGTTGCCGGAATATCGCACCGAACTTTAAGTAAGAGAATCCGTTTAGTAACGTGAAAGTACTTTTACCAACATTTATCTTGAGATGCGAGGCAAAAGAGACTAACTTTACAAGGCAACATCCGCTCTACTCTCGGTGACTTCGACGCGTGGACAAGGACTGACGCGCGAAGAATAATTACAATCCTTTATTAAATAACGATTGTTGCCGGAATATCACACCGAACTTTAAGTAAGAGAATCCGTTTAGTAACGTGAAAGTACTTTTGCCAACATTTATCTTGAGATTCGAGGTAAAAGAGACTAACTTTACAAGGCAACATCCGCTCTACTCTCGGTGACTTCGACGCGTGGACAAGAACTGGTGCGCGAAGAATAATTACAATCCTTAATTAAATAACGTTTGTTGTCGGAATATCACACCGATCTTTAAGTAAGAGAATCCGTTTAGTAACATGAAAGTACGTTTACCAACATTTATCATGGAATTCGAGGCAAAAGAGACTAACTTTACAAGGCAACATCCGCTCTACTCTCGGTGACTTCGACGCGTGGACAGGAACTGGCGGGCTAGGGGAACTAGTAATTCACATAAAACTCTACTCCTAGGACCAGGGACGAAGAATAGAACCTTGAGAACGAATCGAGCCTCGAATGCTAGTTTGGACCTCGACCTTACAAAAACGGCCATAAGTATATCTTCGATATTCAACCGAAGCCTTCTGCATTATCATCTTATCTTAACTACTCGTACTTCAGATCCTCACATGCGTTCCCAGGGCTTATATAAGATAAAAATTCATTCGAGGAAGAACCAAACAGCCGCCATTACTGGAACCTCCACAGTGTTACCAACCGGAAACCCATTAAACCCGTGAAACGTGTCTCGGGATTACCTCTTTCCCGACTGGGTTAATCGTCGAAATTATCGCAGGTTGACCAATCCGAGGACGACCAAAACAATCCCGAGTGTCCCCAAATCGGGCAGTTTAATGTTCGCGATTTACGCCTAAAGAACAAGACCTGCTGCTCACGTACACGTACTTATGTACGGACTCGTGTTTGGGGACACTCCGGGTCTCCAGGATTCCCAGGTCGAGGTTTCGCCGAAGAATATTGACAGAGAACTCGGACCAGGACGAGGGGGACAAACGTTCCACAAGATATTACGAAGCCAGGACTGCAGAAGTGCCCCTAGTAGCAAAGAATAATTTCTAAATATTTCTTTGTAATCTTTGCTAAATATCTCAAGCGACAGATTTTTTTTAAGATTTCTTGTAGATCTCATTCAAAGATATTTGAAATATTTCTTGAAAATCTCAATGACACATTTAGTTTCAATAATTTATAAACATATAAAGAAATATTTTTTAACTTATTAGCATAATAAAAATACATTTTTTACTTCACGACTATTATCGGACACTTCATTTGGTATAAAATAACACGAGAGATTTTTCTAATATTTTCCTTCCGCAATTTCATTATGGGAGCAAAACGTGTGAATTTGATTTTAAATATTTTTAAAACGTTTATAATGTATTCGGCAGGTAATATTTAAAAAATACTTCTATTAAAATGAAACGAAATGTTTTGTATATCTGGTAGAAAAATATTATGAAAACACATGGAGGTAATTTTATATCAATATTATAGAGACAATATTCTAAAGTAAACGTTTGGCAAATATTTCAAATGTCTGGTAAATATTTACAAAATGTAGGATATTCGTTAAATATATAGAAAATATAGGAGTAATATTTTGTGCTATCGGGGTGTTGCATGTCACATGCGAGGACCAAGTGTACCGTACACGATGTTGCATTACACCTGAAGACGAGGTGCAGGGTATATGACGTTACATTATATGAGGACGAAGTCCACCGAGCAAGGTTCGCCGGAAATCGAAGCAGGTTAATCGCTCGGTTCGCCGAATGCCGCTGATTGTAATTGTCAGACTGTAAAACCTTGCCATTTATGGCCCCTCTAACGTGTGCAACAATAAAATCGCCGTTTGTTGTGATTATCTCTCGAAGACGTTTCTTTCCTGGCCACGAGGCATGACATCAGCAAACGAGCATTAGAGCAAAAAATAAAACAGCCCTGTAAACGTGTCCTATACCTCTCCATTTTCTTCTAATTCCCGATTAAATGTTACGTATTTAATAATCTACTAACTCCCTTAAGGTGAAGTGAAACACGTCGAGGAACTTGGTCGACGTCGAAAAAGAAGGTTTTTCTAAATGCCTACGTTGCCGTCGTTGGTTTTTATATTGACTGCTGGGTCGAATTATATTGGGTATTGTACTAAATACATACTCCACCTGTCGTTTTTGTACATTAATTATAAAGAAATCGAAGTAAAACTCCAGAAATCCTCTGGATTTATGCTTTCTGGGGCCCTAATTGACTGTAGAAGGACCCGTGTCTTATACCTCTCCATTTTCTTCTAATCCACTATTAAATGTTATGTATTTAACAATCTACTAACTCCCTTAAGGTGAAGTGAAACACGTCGAGGAACTTGATCGATGTCAATAAAGATAATTTTTCTACATCCCTACGTTGCCGGCGTTGGTTTTTATATTGACAGCTGGGTCGAATTATATTGGGTATTGTACTAAATACATACTCCACCTGTCGTTTTTGTACATTAATTATAAAGAAATCGAAGTAAAACTCCAGAAATCCTCTGGATTCATGATTTCTGAGGCCCTAATTGGCTGTAGAGAGACCCCCTGCGCCATCTGTGATTTCCAGGTCAATTCAATTTTCACTCCGAGACCTCGTGTTCTCATCGTTTTAGCATAGAAGCGCATAAAACACTTTTTTTGCCTTTATCTCGTTCAAATGCAAGTTTATCAATTACCAGAGTGTTCTAAATTGTCGTAAAATTGTCCTGACCCTTTCGAATCTCATATCAGAGCCTTCGATAATTGTATATTGATCGAAATATGAGAGCTCGACGCCATTTTGCCCAAAAGCTAGCGAAGTACATAGCCGTTTTCAAAAATATGCATTTTTCACAAAATGGCATCGATTCGAAAGGAAAGATACGTATGTTCCCCTAAATTTCGTTAATTAATGTTGCATAAACAACGCGAATATCAATACATTGAAAAAACCATACGTATTTCGCTAGATAAACATATCAGGAATAAAATAAAAATAGAATCAAGACGATTGATTGAGAATTAGCGGAGCTAGAGTGCCAACCGATTTTTGAAATGCGGTTTTAAGAAAAACGCGTTTACACCTATACACCTGCCCACCGCAAGATCACCGATTTTCGCAGTGAGCGAGTTTAATAGTAATATAATACCTTACAGTATTTTAATTTGGATAAAAACGTTTTAACTCTTAAAGAAAAAATTCTTGAAAAACCATAATTTTTGGGTGCGTCAAAGTGGTGTAACCCCTTAAGTGGACTTAAGAAAAGTCAAATGCAAAATCTAGATCTTCTAGGAATTTATTAATCTACCCCACCATTCATATCTCCTATCATTGTCCTAACGCGTAATGTATGCAAAGCACGATTCATAAAATTCCAGCATAAAAAATGTTATGCACGAATCCGTTGTTTCAGTCATATGTAACAAGTGAATCGCCTTCGAGGACGCGTACCGAGGTAACAATGACTTCAAACCGTTGAAATACATGAAAGGAAACAGAAACGACTCGGTTGAATGCGGATAGATAATAAAACTTTATTAAACGCTATCTTGAAACACTTGGTATTCCCTCTGATGGCATAACGCGTCCTCTTTGTACTCGCGATTAACCCTTCTGATTCGCCGTTGTTCACCGTTAAACGGCCAATCGGTTCGTTAAATAATTTCGGCTCGAACATAAATAACGTCTGCGAGAGTATAGCAATAATAAAAAAAGGAAAAAAAAATAAGAGGAAGGAATAGACTGGCCTTCGGCTTTGAACATCGCGCGAAATGAGACGGACCGACGGATTCGTTCCGACTTTCCCTTACCACTCGTTTAACATCTTATTTACAGTCCGCCGTTCCAAGATGGATGGCAGAGAATGGCCGCTGGACTCGAAATACTCCTCGACGATGATTGCGACGTCGATGTTGCACCTCCTGAGCACGTTACTGCGGGCACTTCAACCCCAGAACCACCGATCAAGACACAACGGGGTGAACACTGACGTGGTCCCACATAAACGTCCATTTTGGGTACTTTCAGCAACGGGGGTCTTCCATAAGTCCACGTTAACACAGGTAACAACGTCCTACGAAGTTCATCCGTGATCACTCGAAGCTGGTCAAGAAAGTACTGGGAACCTTCCCCAATTGCGCCTCCTCTTTGCGGTTCCAGATCCTACTTGGATGCCGATGAGACCAGATGAGACCAGTTCTCCAGGAGCCCTTGGTTGGTCTCTAGCGTTGGTTTCGCGAAATCACCTTCTTCACATTTCAGCAGGGTCTGCCCTGATGAAGTTTGCGAAAGGTCGACCTCCTGGCGACAATAGACGTGGGTCATTCCCGAACGCCACAACAAATTGAAGGAACACCTTGTTCTACGTAACTGGTGAAATCAAAAGGGAATCCAGTCTAAGACACCACTTTGGTACCTTCAGATAATTTGCGTTCGCCAGTCTGTTAAGGAAGATGTTCGGAAACCATCTTCTTCACATTTCAGCAGGGTCTGCCTTGATGAAGTTTGCGAAACGTCGACCTCCTGGCGAGAATAGACGTGGGTCGTTCCCGAAAGCCATAACAAATTGAAGGAACACCTTGTTCTACGTAACTGGTGAAATCAAATGGGAATCCAGTCTGAGACACCACCTTGGTACTTTCAGATAACTTGCGTTCGCCAGTCTGCTAAGGAAGATGTTCGGAATCACCTTCTTCACATTTCAGCAGGGTCTGCCCTGATGAAGTTTGCGAAACATCGACCCCCTAGCGACAATGGACGTGGGTCATTCCCGAAAGCCACAACAAATTGAAGGAACACCTTGTTTTACCTAGCTGGTGAAATCAAATGGGAATCCAGTCTAAAACACCACCAGGACTTGGTACCTTCAGATAACTTGCGTTCGCCAGTCTGCTAAGGATCCTTCTGTCCTCGGAACTACAAACACCGCTTGCACAGGTTCCAATGTGAGAACACCTCACTCACGGCCCCTAAGGTCCCGATCCAAATCTTGGATAAGGGAGTGTCTAGGTGGAAGAGTCTTCCGAGACACCTCGACTAGTCTCAGACCTCTCAAGCCCCTCGTGTCATGTCTTCCTGGTGAGGTCCAGCGGAGGTCCCGTCTCGGCTTCCCCGAGGACCTCGTTGTCCTCGCTCTCGGAGGACCTGTCCTCTTCCGAAGTCCTCGGCACTTCGGCTTCCGTGGCAGTCTTCTCGCCGCCCTTCATACTCAGGTCTATAGGCTCGTCCTGCTCGGGTCCCAGGGACCTGAGGAACGCCAGGCTCTCATCCAGGGCCTCCTGGTTGACCCTCTGAGTCCTCTGACCGATTTCCCCAGGTGCGAGCCTGTTCTCCTCGGGCTTGGGGGACGGACTCGACCTGGGACTCACGCTCTCGCTGGAGGAACTGGACAGGCTGGTCGCCAGGACAGGTGTGTCGACCTGGTTCACGTAGGGCACTAGGAAACGCTGCTGGAACGGGAAGAAGGGTGAATTCAGCAGCTGCATGTGGGTTAATGCTGGGTGGAAGAAGGGAGGACCTCGCCAGAGGGGAAAGCGCGGAACTTCCGGCCTCAGGAGGTCGTGGGACCTCAGGATGTCCTGCGACCTGTGCAGGTCCTGGGTCCTGAGGACACCTCCTGATGGCAGCTTCTGCTGGCCTATGCCCTCGTCCCGCTTCGGGAGCGTCTCCTGCTGGAAGATGTTGGTGGTACCACCCACCACCCCACTGGCTCCGTTGTTGTTGCTGTTGTTGTTGTTCGCCGCGTCCAGGGAGCTGATCGCCTTCTCGTATGGGGATTTCGGCTCCTTCAGTCGAGCCTGGGCCTGGTGCGACTGCTCCTGGAGAAGGCAGTGGATCTTGAACCAGTTCGAACGACGACCGTACCGGGATCCTGACTTCGACATGCCCACCATCAGACACTTCCTCAGGCGACATGCCTTGCAGGCGGTGCGGTTCTTCTTGTTTATCACGCACACCCCTCCGTTCTTGCATTGCGAGATGTTGTCCAGGTTGTTGTACGTCCGCCCGAAAAAGGACTGCGGAACAGAATTAAAAGGAAACTGTAATGGTACGTTCACCAATATGGAACGTCGGTAAAGGTCTTGACACTTGCAGCGGAGATAATGCACTTAAACTACCCTGTTAAAAGTGGCAGTTAAATTCCTTTGTTTAGTATAATCGGAGATTTGGTATACATTTGATACAGATTTTTAGACTTTATAATTTGAATACGTCACATAGTAATCTTCTGAAGTGGCGCGGAAAATAAATACACTTGTGTGTTATGGTTAATGTATATTAATAAAATGGTAGAAAGTTATGGTATTATTTTTAACAGGGTAATCTCGTTAAAAATTATAGCTGTCCCGACCTTGCAACCCTCGCAGGTGAAGGCTCCAAAATGGAAGCCTGCTGCTGGCTCTCCGCAAACTCTGCACAGCTGATTCATCTGCGAGCAGAAAAGGGCAAAGTGATCAACAAAACCAAAACTACCTTTTAACTTTCCACCTTATAAAATGACAATCACTGCATGACATTGCCCGATCTTATCCCCGTACATAACTATGAAATGATTGACGCGGAAAGTCGAAAACGGAGTTCTGATTTCCACAAAAGAAAGAAAAGAAATGAACGGAGCAACCCCTAGTAGCATAGAACAATTTATAAATATTTCTTTGTAATCTTTGCTAAATATCTCAAGCGACAGATTTTCTAAGATTCCCTGTAGATTTCGTTCGAAGATATTTGAAATATTT